AGAACTAAGTTTCTGGAAAATCTACACTCGAATACTCGTTGCCTGGCGCGCATTTACTTGAATGTTCGGGACGCTTCTTTGCTAATTATATAAATAGGCGCTGCAAGATGCGATCGGAGTAGTCTTGATTTGGCGAAACAAGCGAAGCTTCGGAGCGGAATAAAGTGACTTAGTGTGTTTAATTATTAGTGTTTTTAACTTTAACTTGTGTAAAGTAAATTAAAGTGTTAATTTAGGTAATTTTATCGGCAATTTTTATTGTCACGAACCTCAAGCTCGTAACAATATGTAGGGGGGAGACAGCACCCACTTACCATTAGGTGGACTGTATGCTATTAGGTGGACTGTTTGTAACCCTTATTCTATGAAGGTAATATGTCAAAAAAGGCGCGTGTCAATGCAAAAATGACAATGCTGTGTCAGTCGTTACCTTAATGTATGGTAGTGAAAATTGGGTGTAGCAGAAGAAGTTAGAATGTAAAATGAATGCTGCAAGAATGCTAAGTATTGTTGCGTGAATAAGTCAACGTCATACACCAGCGCCATCTAGTGTCGCAGTAGTAGGGCAGTATTAGATTTGGCGAGACTTGGAAGAGATTTGGAATAAAGTGAATTAGTGTGTTTAATTATTAGTGTTTTAAGTTTTAATTTGTGTAAAGTAAATTAAAGTGTTAATTTAGGTAATTTTATCGGCAATTTTTATTGTCACGAACCTCAAGCTCGTAACAGTATTTTTGGGCTGACTCTGAGAATTTGTGTGTTAAGAGAAAAGTGTGGTTTCTAAGATTATATTGTGACTAGGATTGTGAAAGGAATGCTTCGGTGGTTTGGACATGTAGAGAGAATACCTACCTATATGAGGAAAGAGTGACAAAGCAAATTTTTGCTGCCACAGTGCCACAGTCTGCAAGGGTCGCTCTGGGCGGAATTTCGTGAACCAAATTGGTGGTATATTGAAAATGGGCTAAATTAATTACCATGATGCATAGGTAATATTGATGTGAATGAAGCGTGAGAGGTGAATCAAGATCGTGTCAAACTGAAGTCCGTAGTCTCTGCCTACCCCTCCCTAAAAGTGAGTTTATGCATGTGTGTATTTCCACGACGTCTAATAGGTCACTTTAGCTTAATGTGAAACTCAGAAAATGATCATATTTGTAAAGACCGGATATGAATCTTATAGCAAAATTCTGAAGACACTCGATTTTATTCAATTGATCCTCAGTAATAATAAATATTTTAATGAGTTATACGCTCATATTATTTCATCGTCATTCTTATCATAGTTTGCATACTGTTCAACGTTGGACATGTGCGTTTCCTACAATTGAGAAGGTTACTCGTAAACTGGTAATCAAATAATATTTAATATTTAAAAAATAATTACTTTCGTTTGCAGTTATATCGCTTCGAATTATTCGCTTGTCTCGCCAATTCAATTCTTACTCGGTCGCGGTCTTAACCGGCTTTATAGAGGCCCTATCCTCTTCTACTGAAAAACTGAAAGTACATATAGGTCCCAACTGACTAGGTGTAGAAAGTTCTGGCATGGCAATTTCTAGAAGAATCTAGACTCTTCTAGTTCTGCTACTCGATACTAAAGGGCGCTAGTGGTAACTAATGACTCCACGTACCAGGCATTAATTATGGTGCGCAACAGTTTATATAAGTAGTCAGGAAAAATGAGGTTTCACACACCCGTAAAATTATTTCAAATTGATTATGTTCAATTCAATTTAATCAATGAGCACCTGATTTAAAATGAAATTAGTTTTTTATACAGTGGGTGATGAACGAGCTATCGGCCCACTTGATGTCATAACTTGACTTCTAACAAATATTTAGTAATTTTCTTTCAGCACTTAAAGTTTCTCTCTTTTTCTTCACTCAATGACAATGATAAGAGACAAGTATAAAGATAATTAATACTTAAAGTATGTAAGCGGTAATTAAGGATATTATGTAAGGCCGGTTTGCATTTAAGAGTCCTCTTACATTTCGGCGTTACGCAAATTTAGGTATTTTACGCTCCGTGCGGTCGACGACCTACGCGGGAGACGCTTTGTTTCATATTTTTATTCATTCGCTCGCACAATGACAATGACAGTATAGCGACTAAACGATCTTGATCTTCCATTATACAAGTTTTCTTAGGATGGAGTTTAGTGGATGGAAAATTTTTGGTGTGTAATTTTTATGGATTCTAATTAATGATTTCTTAAATTTACGCGAACTACACATTGAATAAAACTAAATTTACGGATTCTATCGCGTTTATTTAACTGATTTTACTTATTTTAAATTCCCGACGTTTCGGGTGCTTTACAGCACCCATGGTCAGGGGGGGGCTGAGATGTTTGACGTCCCAATGTCATTGTTAGCTAGATTCTAATTAATTTATTTCATATATAATGAAATATAATATTCATAAATAATGAAAAATATATCTATTTGATATATTTTTCATTATTTATGAACCTAGCGTTGAAAGTACACATAAATATTTTAATTGTTTCGCAGTAATCGATTGTTAACCAATGTTGGTTATTAATCGATTATATCTACTAACGGCAGCATAGTGGTATAAATAAATAAATAGCACGGTTGCAACTTGTTTTAATAAATAAAATAACAACTGTAACTAATAATTTTTTTAATCGGTACTTACAGTCAATTACCATATTTTTTATTATAAAAATATTTACCACAACGGCATTGACTGGCTACAAATAAATTAAACTCAACATTGAGCCTTCCGGTGAGCGTCGCTGGCTTTCATGAGCACAGTGAGATAGCTAAGGCCTTCCAAGATCACTTCAGGGTGAACTCGCCTCTTGAGCCTGCAGCTGCGATGTGTGATGATGGGCGTCGTGCTGTCCAACTTAAAGTTAGATTCTCGGCGAAGGATGTGGACCGCGTAATTAAGAGCATGGTACGGGGTAAATCGCTTGGTCACGACTACCTCAGCATAGAGCATCTGCAGTGCGCAGGAATCCATCTACCAAGGGTCTTATCTTTGTTATATAACCTCTGTCTCAGCCACTCTTACCTGCCTGATGACGTTATGCGAACCATTGTTGTGCCTGTTATTAAGAACAAGTCGGGGGGATCCATCGGACTTGACAAATTACAGACCAATCTTACTGGCTACTGTGGTGGCAAAGGTGCTGGACAGTTTGCTTGATCAACACTTAAGTGGTTATTTAAAATTTAATGATGCGCAATTTGGTTTTCAACCAGGTCTGTCCACCGAAAGCGCTATCTTGTGTCTCAAGCAAGCTGTCAAATACTACACTGATAGGAGCACTCCAGTTTTTACCTGTTTTTTTGACCTGTCCAAGGCCTTCGATTTGGTGACATATTATGGAAAAAACTTCAAAATGAGACTGATGTGCCGCACGAGTTAGTTGCGGTGCTACGATCGTGGTATGAGCGGCAGAGCATCTGTGTTAGATGGGCGAGCTCATACTCTGATGTATATAGACTTGAATGTGGGGTGAGGCAAGGTGGTCTTACATCTCCTAGGCTCTTCAATATGTACATTAATGGCCTGATCGACGAGCTGAGCGGAACAAATGTAGGTCATATTGTTGGTGTATGTATTAATAATATAAGTTACGCAGACGACATGGTGCTGCTCAGCCCTTCGTTTGGTGCCATGCAAAAACTATTAAAAGTATGTGAAGCATATGCAGTGTCCCATGGACTCCGATACAATGTGAAAAAGAGTGAATTCATGGTGTTCAAGGCAGGAGTCAAATCCCGACCAATTGCGACTACCTTCACACTCAACAACTCACCTCTAAAGCGTGTCTCACATTTTAAGTATCTGGGTCACTGGGTCACTGAGAATCTGCGTGATGATGTGGATATCGAGCGGGAACACAGGGCGCTGTCCATTCGATGTAACATGGTGGCCCGAAGGTTTGCTCGTTGCAGTAGGCAGGTAAAGATTACTATTTTCAAAGCCTACTGCCAGTCTTTTTACACGGGCAACCTATGGGTTAACTATACGCAGCGGGTGTACAGCGCGTTGCGTATCCAGTATAATAATGGGTTTAGGATGCTGATGGGGCTGCCTCGATTTTGTAGTGCGTTAGGAATGTTTACTGAAATGCACACTGATGGTTTCCACGCCATTATTAGAAAGCGTGTTGCATCGATGCTGAAGCGTTTGCGGGGCAGCTCCAATAGCATTATTAACATAATGGCAGATAGATGAGACTCGACGCTGCTTGAGCACTGGATACGGCTTCATGCCAAGGTATAAAACGCCGGTGCCCTCTTAGCGGATATCTCAAAATCTTCATTTATATTTGTGTTTATTATATTTATTTAAATTAAATTGATTACTAACACTAAAATTTCATAAATGTTATATATCTCATTTCACTTCAATTTTAGTAACATAATATATGGGTTTTCTGTTGCCTGTAATAAAGATATTTTATTTTTATTTTATTTATTGACCGAGCTTATCTCGAGTCAATAATTTCAGGCAGTACACACTTTTTATAAAACGCTTGTAACTTGGGTAACATATTCAAAATCCAAAATTTGTCGTCTTTGTAGATTTTTAGTACTTTTACTGCATAATCTGGGCCAGTCCATATGGCAAGCATGCAGACCTTTTTATTCTCCATTATTATTTCCCCAGAGATAGGATATTTCTTGTTTTACGTTTAGTGACACATTGATGCTTGTATTTATTTTTCAAAGCTCAGCTACAATCAAAATAACTATAATGAGTTAACTACCTGGTATAATAATAATGTGCGAACTTTGTACTAATTGAAATATACTATACGAAAGTAAACACTGAGGATTAAAAACTGCGGACGTATTTGACGATGCTCTAGCACAAAATAGCAGCGCACCGCAATCGACGCACATTACGATAATATCGAACGACACGGAGCGCGCGAAATAAAGTGACACAGGTTCGACCGAGAGAACCGCTCGCCCGGTGATGAATTCAGATTGTCGGCGCAGTGAAATATATGGTACTTCTATTTAATTAATTAAAAAATAATAGTAACGATTTAAAAAGTAAAAATCATAGTATACTTTAAACAAATGTTGATGATTATTTCGGTATTAATTTTACGTCAAAATTATGTAGAATTTCGGAGATACTGGTGCTTGTATCTTTGGTCGTTAATTGATAATATCGAAACGAGACGGAGCGCGCGAAATAAAGTGACACAGGTTCGACCGAGAGAACCGCTCGCCCGGTGATGTATTCAGATTGTCGGCGCAGTGAAATATATGGTACTTCTATTTAATTAATTAAAAAATAATAGTAACGATTTAAAATGTAAAAATCATAGTACACTTTAAACAAATGTTGATGATTATTTCGGTATTAATTTTACGTCAAAATGATGTAGAATTTCGGAGATACTGGGGCTTGTATTTTTGGTCGTTAATTGAATTATGTCGATTTCTTTACTTACGTGAAAGGCATATAATGAAAATGCATTCTATCATTATTAAACGACTCGACTCGAAGTTTCCAAAACTTTACGGTTAATGGTCACGGGGAAGGGGGAAGGAGACGTTCATATAAGTGATAAACTCCATAAAAACTACTTTCATTTAAGCTGATAGATGCTACAGCTTTAAACAGCTACAGCTTAGCTATCTCAAGCTAAATAGCTTTCATAATAACATAATATACCGTCTGTTTTATGGTGGTATTTTATTATTTAAACATTAATCGTGTGAAAACGCAATATTCTATTTGGGATTTATATAAGCTTTTAACTGTCAGGGATTGAAGTCATTTAATTAAGTGTCACTTCAGATCTTATCTGCAGTGTGTCAGCAGTCACTAAATATTGAACAATATAAACTTTATTTATTTTCTTGCGTTAGGTATATCCGAACGTGGTTTTATCATTTGCTTCGTTTTATAATTTTTTGTCAATAACTAAGACTAAATATGGTTTTTAAGAAGACTTGTTTTATGATTGGTTCAGATCCAAAGTTTTCATCAAACCATCTTTCGCAATATGTGAGTATGGGTACGTCCAATATAATTATTTATTCTGTGTTATGAGCTTAATATTGTAGGACCTGTTTATCCTAATTATTGAAATAATAAAGTTATAACGCAGTGTTGTTCTCCAGTACTCTAATCTAGTTCTTTGTCACTAGAAATTTAATCTCCTCGTTGTTTTAACGTAATGTGCTTTTACTAAAGAATGTAAGCTACGCATTTCGTAATCGACGTCACAGGAGACCGAAGAGCTGGCAGTTACCTCGGACAAAGAATTAGTCTAGCTATTCAACGGGGGAAACGCTGCCAGTATCTTCGGAACCTTGCCTAAAGGACCTCTTTTTTTAATAATTTAATTTAGTTATTATAATATATATTTTTAAGGTTTTTAGTATTAGAATTAGTTTGTGAATATATATTATAGCACAAGACATTTTACAATTTCTATAAGTATAAATATCAAAAAGTGTATCAATAATTTTATAAAAAGTTTTTGACAGAACGTATGACCTGACTAGGTCGGGACTAGGTAGGAGCGAGAAAAAGAACCAGCCTTTTTACTACCAATAGTGACGAAAATTCGTGGATACAGTTCCTTTAGGAAAATCATCGCCCCCAAAGTGCCCCACAGTCTCTAAAATAATATTAACAATGCTATAAACATTACTAATATTCCCCTTAACCACTCGTGGTAAGCTTAAATTGCTTGTGTTACGAGCGGTTCACGCCAGTAGTCGAATGTTAGTTGTAGGTAATATTAGTTGTAGCACGAATTGTTTGGCTCGACCGGGGTAGGACCACGCTCTCAGAATATCAGCGTAAAATAGCCTCTTAATGCTGCTGTGTTTCTTTGGTGAGTGTAGAGAGCCGGATTTTACTGGAAACGAGGCAAATTTAAGTCCTTAGGGGTTACAACGCATCTGCATTTTGATTCCTAATCGAGATAAATGTCTATGGGCCACAGCATCCACTTACCATCAGGTTGATTGTGTGCACGTTTATTAACTTATTCTTTAAATAATGAGGAACGTAATTTGGTGTGAACCACCATTTTATCAGCTTACTTTGGTATTAATATTTACAGATCGAATTTATATTAAGAGAATTAAAATTACGAGACACGAAATATGCTGTGGAATCGAAATACGGATGGCTTCTATCAAGACGTAAATTGAATTTCGGTGCATTTGGCGACTGGTATTTAGATCGCTACAGGACTTTAATAGACAAGGTATTTATAATTACTGCAACTGTCTAGTTGGTCTAGTGATCTTCAGCGGAACTGCTACTTAGAATCAGTTATTGAGGTTTTCTGTCAATAAATTTATATAGCAGTCCGCAGTCAGGAAATTGGCGGTGTAAGTTTCGCAAAGCACGTAAAACCTTGTTGCGTCTGATGTCTTTACGGTCGTGTCGGCTTGCCGTGTCTTCGCACAATGAGCGAAAGGGTATAGACTAACATTTATGCTTGCCCACACACTCGTGCACTATAATCCTGTTCTGTGCAATATGGCTAGACTCCGTTGAGACTGGTAATTGTGACCGAAATTCGCTCTGGAGGAAATCATTGTTATATTATCAATCCATAATAGATTCAAATGGCTTTCTTAAATATTTTCGTAATATCGTTTACAAGATTGGCAAAGAGCACACAGTGTTGGTAAGTTAAGACCGGGGCCCAGAGACACTTAAATCCATCTTCAATTAAGGATCCAAGTGCAGATGCGTTTTATTTGACTAAGGTAGAATGTAGTAAACAGTAAAAAGCACGTCGAGTTCACTTCCTTCACACAGCAGCTTTGTGTTACTATTTTACACTAGTAGGCTGTACACCAGCCTACTAGTGTAAAATAGTAACATGTGAGAACATGGTCCTTTTTCGCTTGAGTTGTCCCATGCGTGCTGGAGACGTATTAAAAAAAATATAAACATATATAGATATAGATAGTAAATACATTAACCCGACAAGTGGTAAAATTTAAATTTTTGTACAACCGACTTAAATATAAATAAAATGAGAAAATCATCAATATATACGAAATATTAAATACGCATTATTAATGATAATTCAATAACTACCGGTTAGATCTTGATCAAATAGTAAATAGGGACTACAAGAGAAGCACCAGCTTTCAAATAAAAATATAGAATTATCAAAATCAGTTCACCTAGAAAAAAGTTCTAAGGTAACACAAAAAATAGAGTCGAATTGAGAATCTTCTTCTTTAAAACAAAAGTCGTTGATAATTTTGTTGTATGAGTGAAAGCCTTTTTACTAAAAGAGCCTTTTTACTCATACCTCGAAATCTCTGAAATTATAGTGGTCAGGAAAGACCGACGCTGGTAAATAATTCTAATTCCTTACTGTGCGCACTAAAAATACGTCGACTCGTTCGATGGTAAAATGTACACTCAGACAAGTACAACCTATCAGAAGTCCACTGCTGCAGTCCTCTCTTTTAGAATGCCTCATTTTGTAGATATTTGCCATAATTGCCACGCTTGGTAGGCTTTTTATTTTTGGAACGATGATGCTGCCCAACTCTTGCTTAGTTCCCCTTTGTCGCCTCTTTTTTATAGAATCAGGGTGACAAACGAGCACACAGTCCACCTGATGGTAAGTGGTTGCCGTGGCCCATAGAGATTTACATTTATCCCCACTACACTCACCCTATGAAACACAGCAGTATTAAGCTGCTAGTTTACGCTGGTATTCTGTGAGAGCGTGATCCTTCCCCGGTTGAGCTGACGCATTCGTGCTACAACCGTAATATAGCTGCAGCGTGGCTATGCCACGTAAGAATCTTCTTCTTACGACACTCACGGGACGATGTGGGGCAGTGGATATTCCTATATTGTCATACACGGTCGGTAAGTAACCTGTAGATAACCGATAGACTTTTTCTAGGTACTAGGTAGAAATGTGTCAATCATTCATTTCTCGTGACCGAATCATTCTAGTACATTTCGTCACGCGTACCGGTACATTCGGATCGATCATTCAAATGGATCATTTCGGGCTCCAGTACCCTACACTAAAAACAACTCATTCAGATCTTTCGGGATTCTGTCGGTTTTTGACTCATTTATAATTCACACCAATCACGAGTTAAAAAGGTTCTGGTTGCAGGTTGTACTGGAACATTAAAAAAACAGATGAATGAACCATCAATACTTTTAAGTATACCAGCTCAAACGAACGAATCATTCATGATTGATACATGTCTATTACACTACTTTATTCCCGTCTGAATATTATAGAGAGCCAGCATAATTACAGGCATTCCATGTGATGCATTCTATCTGAGTTATCAGAGGTAACATTTGTATTAATCTTCTTAGTTTGAAATTGACTACAGGTGTCCCATAGACTTTAGTGGCCACCTACCATCAGGTAGACTGTGAGTTTATTTATCACTTTAGTTTTATGAAAAAAAAAATAGAATCTCGGGCGTTTTTATTTTACGCAAGCAACTTTACGCAGCCGTGTTGTGGTAGCTTAGATGGTTAGCGCTCGCTGTAAATTTCACAGTATGCGAGAAACCCGGGTTCGATCCCCGTCGGCACAAATGAAATTATTGCTAATTGCAATTTTAAGTGCTGATTTACCACGTGCTCGGCGCTGAAGAAAAACATCGTGAGGAAACCTGCATGTCTAAGAAATAAGAAAAAAGTATTTTCGAAGACATGTGTGAAGTTCGCCAATACTCTCAGAAATGTGTGGAGGCCTGTGCTCGGGAGTGGGACGTCTATAGGCTGTAACTTTTACTTTTTCACTTTACGCGAAGAAGCTTATTGATTATTACGCTAACTAGCTACACAGAGTTATTTTTACCTACTGTTATTTATTTGTATTAAGCTTTAAAGTCTATATTATACAAGTCTTTTAAAATATATGAAATTAAGAAATATTTACTATTATCTCGTACATTTTCGTACGCAAATGATGATAATATGAATATGTTTTAGATGACGAGCGAGAGTTGCGTAGCAGTTGCGGTAAAACTTGATAAGTGCGTAGAAGAAAATTTCAATATTACGACTGGCAACATATTGTTAACTTTGCAAAAATTATTGGAAGAACAACTTAGCATACAGATGATACAAAGAAATATTCAAATTAGGAAACAAAGGAGTATCAATCGCAATCGAGTACGTCCTGAATTAATCCATGATAAAAGCTCAAAGATTTTCTTTCTTTCCTCAAATGTGCAAATAAAAAGACCTCCAGCAAGTTTGTAATCAATTAAGGCAATATATTTGTAATACAACTGGCTTAGCGTTTTATTTATCTTCATTAGAAAATAAAAGGATGTTCTTATTTTATTACTTAGTTTCTTTTTTAAAAGTGACGTTAGTATAAAAATAAAGTGTCCAAAATTAAAATTTACTTTTTTAAAAGTGACGTTAGTATAAAAATAAAGTGTCCAAAATTAAAATTTACTTTTTGCAATAGCATAGTATGATTAAGAGTTCGTCATTGGTCTATAAATAGGCCACTTCTTCTGCTGGACATGGGCCTTACCTCTTTCTAGTTGGGACGGTTTGCCGTAATCGTCAAGGCAGGTGGATTGGTAATTGCGGCACTGGATGTTTCAGACTCTAACCTATCCCATAATCACCTCTCATGACATCCGCGGGGAGAAATGGGATGAAGAATAGCGCCACTACTCGGCTGACCCTGCCACCAACTGGTTGCTCACTCGGCTGATCTGTTGCTTGACATTCCACCAATATTAGAATGATTGGCCTTGAAAGTCAAACTTAGCTTAGATAGACACTGGAAGTAACGATTAATTAACATGTTCGACACTAGTGACATTGGTCTCTCTTCGTCACCGAGAAAGGTTAAATACCATGTTTTTAGGGTCCATTGAAGTAATATGCTTACTTACGTACTAGAACAACTATCTCAAACAAAAAATGTGCGCTATTCTGTGTTCGTGCGGTTTGTTTTTTTTATCATAGAATAAACATAGGTAGAATGACCCGTAGGGACAATATTTAAATTTTGTCATTTATTTTGTATATTATATTTGCTTATTTAATATAATATTACATAATATAATATAATAAGCTCGTCCCCGTTGGTGTGGAATGCAGCACGTAAAGCGGCGATGGGGACCGCCACCCTTCACGCACAGCCCGACACGGCGGAAGGTGGAGGACGGAGTACAGTCCTTTTGGCTGTTTATGCGCCGGTAGCTTCGTCGTCCAGGGCTGAGCTGGAGGAGTTTTGGGAGAATGTAAGAGAAGTTCTAGATTTGGTTAAGGGAAACGAAAGAACTGTTGTATGTGGTGATTTGAATGGATGGGTTGGTATCGCTCGACCAGGATACGAGTCGGTGCTTGGAAATTTTGGCGATAAAAGGGTTAATGATGCTGGCAAGCTTATACTGGCGGTATGCAAGAAAAAGGGTCTTCTTGTGACAAACACTATGTTTAATCACAGGAAAATCCATATGTACACTAGAGAAAGAAAGAATGAGAGAAGTATGATTGATTTGTTCCTGGTGGATGACCGACTGCGAAACCAGGTGATGGATACACGAGTGTTCAGGGGTGCTGACCTGGGAACGGATCACTATCTAGTAATTACTAGATTTAGGGGTTTGTTCGCGGGTTGGCGCTACCGGACGGCAGTAACAGAACCACAGTCGGTCTGTCGCATCCGAAGCTGGAAGCTTCAGGAAGCGGATACTAAGGACAAATATCACACGAGGGTAGCTGAAAAGCCTGACACCATCGATGGCAGGAAAGAATGTGTGGAAAGAACATGGCAGAACCTTAGGGATGGAATGGTAAGTGCAGCGGAAGAAGTATGTGGAACGACAAAAAGAGGTAGTAGTAAAAGAAGAGATGCATGGTGGAATGATGAAGTGAGAGAAGCTGTGAAAAAGAAGAAAAAAGCATGGTTAGACGTAGTTAACATGCTTTTTCGATCTTCACTAGTAAGTGAAGGATCCGGGGGTGACGCCGTGACTGGCACGCCAGACACGGACCTCGATGACACTGAGGTCATCAGCATGAAAGAGATTGAACGTGCGATTCAAAGTTTGAAATGCGGTAAGGCTGCGGGACTAGTAAGAGTTACTGCTGAAATGGTCAAGTACGGTGGGCCTCACGTTTGGGACAGCTTTCATCTGCTGTGCAATTTGTGCTGGCGGACGGGAGGTGTCCCGGATGATTGGCGATCCGCGGTCATTGTGCCTTTATATAAAGGTAAAGGTTACATTTTGGGTGCTATCGGGCGATCAGCTTGACCAGTTTAGCAAGTAAAGTTTACTCGAAGGTTTTGATACGTAGGATGCAAGAGAAATCGGAAAGATTCTTTTGGGAGGCACAATGCGGATTTAGACCTGGAAGAGGATGCACGGATCAAATGTTTTCTCTCCGCATGATCACGGAGAAGCTTCTGAGTGTTAACCAGAAGATTCTCTGTGCTTTTGTGGATCTGAAGAAAGCATTTGATAAGGTTATAAGGAAGAAAATGTGGGAACTGTTGCCGGATTATGGTGTGGATGGTCAATTGTTAAGGGCTGTGTAGTCACTTGACTATGACTGTAAAGCCTGTGTGCGGGTAGGGCATGATCTGTCACCCATGTTTAGCGTCCAAGCGGGCATAAAACAGGGTTGTGTCATGTCTTCCTGGCTGTTCATACTGTATCTCGACAGCTGTTTACAGAAGCTGAAAAATAGAGCTGTTTGGGTGTGAAATTGGGTGACATTAAAGTTAATTGTCTGCTTATTACACCATCAGAAGCAGAGCTGCAGGCATTAGTCGTGTATAAAAGAGGAATGTGAAATTAAAGGTCTCCTTTTGAATGCTAATAAAACTAAGGTTCTGGTATTTGTAAAGGACGAAGAGAGAACGAAATGTGAAATATGGGTTAATCAGGAATGTCTAGAACAGGTAAATGAAATTGTATATTTGAGGAGTGCTTTCAGCCGGGATGGAAGATATGATTTAGATGTGGACAGGCGTGTCGCTACCGGGAACAAAGTCAATGGTGCCCTGAATGCGTTAGTCAAAAGGCATGGCGTAGTGAAGGGTGCACGCCTTGCAATACATAACGCAGTGTTGGTACCGACTTCGTTATATGGCAGCGAAACCTGGGTATGCCAGAAGAAGCATTAAAGCAAGTTGAATGCATTGGAGATCCGATCTCTTCGTAAAATGTGCGGCGTTACCATAGCCGACCGAAAGCGAAACGAAGAGATTCAAAATATGGCAGGATTGAAAGATGACCTTATCACAAAAATTGATAGGGGCGTACTCCGATGGTTTGGGCACGTTGAGCGAATGAGTGAAGACCGAATGGTGAAGAAAATATATAGCGCGAAAGTAAATATTAAAAGGTGTCGAGGTAGACCGAGACTAACTTTCGAAGACCAAATTATGTGTATAGGGGAGCAAATTACTCAAAGAGGGGAAGGTTAAGAGTACTCGGATACCTAGACGTGCATGTATGAAGAAGATAATGAACCTGAAAGAAGCGAAAAAGGTATGTAAGGATCGTGACACTTGGCGATCTGTTCTCTCTGGCTACCCCGTTAGGGATTGTGCGTGAAGATAAGTAAGTAAATAAGTAAGTATTACATAATATTATATCACAAATATATTTTAATGATATTTTTATCTGAATATTTTAAAAGGTATCTATGTCAAATATAAAAAAACGTACCTACTAAATGTATGTTTATCAAAACTTATGAACATAACATTTAAATTACAAATATATTTATTTAAATTAGGACAAGAATCGTTCATAAATTCTGGGCACGCGAGAGTTAAAAATGGACGAATTTATTCCACCTTGACTTTACAGCCTGGCCACGGGACATTCGCCGTAGCTCGGCGCGCGGCGCGTATGGCGAGGCGTCTAGCGACTAAAACAAAATGTATAGAAATGTATGAAGCATGCCACCCGTAGCGGCGAGTAGCAACGCGACCGGCGAAATTTACCGTGCAAATCACGCGGGCGACTGGCGGCGCGGCGGGAGACTGAAACAAATGTATGAATCAGTACGGTGCAAGCCACGGGTCGGGCGGCAGACGCGGCGAATAGTATAGGGAACAAAATATTTTAGTTGTTTTCGCCTCGAAAAATGCCGGGCCGACAAAAACAACTTAAAATTCTATCCGCATTGACTTTTATCTCCAATTTTGGTTGAATATTAACAAGAATATAATCGTAGGTCACCCATTCTGGTATTTACTCGAAATTTTTTTCTAGATGCATTCTATTTGTGGAATTCTCCATCTATAACCCGATTCCTATTCAAATCAAGTACTCCGCAATCTCATCCAAATATTATGTCTTGAATCAAAAAACAATTACTTTCTAAGCAATATCGAGATAACTGTGATAAAGACATTTTACTCTCGGCATATCTTGTCGCGGCGGCAAACGTGACTTCCCGTGGCCCTCAAATCGCGCTGCGCGAATTTTCGCCCCGCCTGTCGCTTCGCCGTTCGCGCCGCCGATCCCCGTGGCTAGGCCGTTAATGTGGAAACCTAAAAATAAAATAAAAGAATAATAAGCAGATTTAAACATTAAAATTTAACCTAATTATAATAACTTATATATGTTTCTACAAAAAAAATGTGTATAATAATATATTCGTCCTATACTTTAAGTACCCACACAAATGTCGCATCTGAACATATTAATTTCATAATCTTTCGTGACACGAGATGGCGTCTTAGAAATAATTTGTTTTATTATTAATCTATAATACTTTTTTATTGGTTAAGTATCTTATTAACCGATGAAAAGCAATTCCTTGGTTTTTACTGACATTTTTTGAATTATTTGTGCAATATCTAACTACACGCGACGGCATATTTTTATCAAGAGATTTTTTTAAAAGCAACACAACACGTGACAACTCCACAAGTGCCTAGCGGGTGACTGATTAAAGTGTGGTGCATGCACCGCAGTTGAGTGGAACAGAGTAGCTGAATGCAGTGTCGCCTCTAGTACGTAGTACATAATAGCTCAATGTTAGGGTCTGAATTATACTAGTTGTCTTTAAGCTATTTGTAGGTAAAACATTAAACTATGCCCAAGTACCAATTTGTTCCATCTGAGTCACGTTTTTCATCCATCAATCAAACAACAGGTTAAGGAACGCGTCTTTGAAAAGCGCCCCGTCCAGCAATGATGCAGCGAGTTGATGGCGAATTTTTGATAGAAGAGAGCGCAAACAAACATGCGGCTCACCTGATGGTAAGTGAC